AAGCATGCGAAGGCGGCTGGAGCTGCGTACTACGGGCGATCTGCAAGCCCACAGCCCGCCAGCGCATCACAAGATGCATGAAGCAAATTTCAAAGTGTCTATATGGGGGAAACTATCCCGGAACTGTCAGGCCTGCACCTGCCTTCGGGGCAGAACTCCCAGGAACGCCCGCGCGCGGAACATCCGCGCGCCTGTGCACGTCCCCGGTCCTTCCACCAACGTGCGCGGCTGCACGAGAATCCTTCTGAGCCATTGCACTCGTATACCCGAATGAGGTGCCTGCTGTTGATTGAACCCCTGTACGGCATCTTAGGACCCTCTGTGGCCGCAAGCGTATAAGGCTTTCAGTCGTGGGCCCCATCGCCTGCAGGTGGTGTCACCTCAGTCACCAGAAGGAATCTGCAGGCGAATTGCTACTGCGATGTGCCCGGCACACGCACGGAAAATGCTTGAGATGCACGACCCCGCATTGCCTCGGGAGTGGGAAGCTGGCCATCGAGCGTGTCCTCCACAAAGGTGTAGCCGAGGTCGGAGCCTCGGCCCATTGCAGACTGCCCACAAGACACCCGAAGCCTACCCGCTGCGCTGACCATACCCCAATGAGCGGACGGATCACAACATAAAGCAAGATGGCGCAGCGAGCAAAAAACCACAAGAGCTGCCCATAGCCGCCAGGCTTTGAGAACTGAGGCCGCAGCCTGCGTCGGACGCCGGGCCTGGCTTCAGAGCCGCCAGGATCTGCGCCTTGAGCTGGGAACCATAGATCTTCATCTTCTTTTCCACCTCCTTGTCCACAGCCTCCTGGAAGTTCACGGGCCTGGAGTTCACACTGCAGAAGTGCTGCACCCGTTTTGCCGTGTTGACTCCAGAACCTTGTGACAGTTGTCGAGCGCCTCGCATCATCTGTCACGGTAAGTGCAGTCAAGAAGCAGGGGGGCTGCGCAAGCGAGACGGCGATCTGAAGCGGATGCAGCTTGGAGAGCTTGGTCGGCGGCGGGGAACACCTGAAACTCGCCAAAATGTGCTCGGGCACACTGCTTGGCGTCGTCCTCGGCCTTCCTCTCGATGAGAAAGCCGTGCTCTTGAAGAGCAGGGAGGGCTTCCTTCTGGGCCTCCGCAGTGCTGATGTTGCCTCCCAGCGTTGCGCGCCCGCCCTCGGCCACATTTAGGAAGCCGGTCACTTTGGCCAGGTCTTCCTTCAAGTCCGCCCGCTTCTCTTGAAGAGAGCAGACATCTGCGCCACCCTCCTTAAACTCCGCTGCGTTGTCGCCCAGCTCCGCCTCCAGCATCAGCTTCGTCGAGGTGTAGTGCGCAATCTGTGCCTTCTTCTCCGTCTCCATGTGACGCAACAGCGATTGCACCGTCAAGACGCTGTCATAGGCTCCTCGCAACACCGGGCCAGCTTGCTTTACAAGCTCCTTCGCATGGGCATCGACCGTTTTGCGAATCTCGGCCTCCCCTTCGAGCGCCACCCGCTCGCACTCCTTGCAAGCTTCCTTGGCCCCCCGCGCGCCTCAACCTCTGTTTTCGTGCACGCGATCGCGTCGCGCAAGATCTTGATCGCAACCTCTTGCCCCTGCACGGCAATGTCAGCATCTGCATACTCTTGGGCAACCTTCTTCAGAGACTGCAACACCTGAACCAGCTCCTTGTGTTTCTGGGCTCGTTCCACTGACTGGGAACGGCGCTTGTCTTCTGCCTGTTTGAGCTGAGCTTCCTGCGCTTGCTGGTAGGCTGCCATCTTGTCCACCGTCGTGGTCAGGACTTTGCGGACGGACGCGCAGCGCTCTGCACGGACCCGGAGCCCATCCGCCTCTGCCCTCTTGGACAGGATGTCCTTCAAGTGCGACGGGCGCTTGCATTGAGAGAGGATGCTCTGCGAAGACGCCTGCACCGCGTCGAAACGAGCCTCAGCGCGCTTGTGCCTGATGTTCTGAAACTCTGCCTTCCGCTTCTCCTTGCTGTCCAGTACCTGTGACGCTTGCGCCCCAGTCCGCTCGGCTTGCAGAATGTCGCTGAAGAGTGTGCTGTTGTTGGGATCCACAAGTTCTTCCAGCAGGGCGGTGGCTTCCTTCACTTTGCTCAGGCCAGACGCGCGAGTCTGCGCCAGCAACTGCTCAGCCTCAGTGGGATCTTGCGCCAGAGCATCTGAAAGGTATTGCTGCAGGTCTCGCTGGACTCCTCGCAGCTCTTTGTGGAAAGTGGCCGTGTCGGATGCTGCCTGGTCCCGGATCCGGATCAGATGCTGGGATCCCTCCGGTTGCGGCTTGACTGCAAAGTCGCCACAGCCGCAAGGGTCCGAATCTTTCGAGCGCTTGGATCTGGAGTGGGCCTTCTGAAGCCCATCCAAACGCTCGGTATCGGTCAAGTCCCCGTTGCTCAGGGCCTGCACCTGCCAGCGGAAGAGACCGGGGCTGGGAGGAGGGAAACCGAGGGCTGCTGACTGCGAGCTTACTTCAGAGTAGGCTACGTCTCAGACATATGTCACATGTCTCAGTCAAGACAACTCCTGAAACATGCCATTTGCCTCTTTCTCCTGTTCCAGGAGGTCCCGAAACCAGCGGTCGTCCTTTGTGGCATCCTCGGTTCGCCACGCTCGGGGCAGCGCCATGGGCTCTCGTTGCTTGGCTGATCTTGCGCGCCAACTTAACGCCCACTCTGAGCCAGCTCAAGTCGCGACACTCTGAACACCCCTCTCACAGCTGGTGAAGGGATTGGAATGCGTGACCTGCTTGGACATGTCCGCGTACAGCTCAGAAGAGCTCAAGGCCTTGCTTTTCCGAGACATCTGCTGGCTGCTTTCCAGATCTGTTTGGCAGCTCGAGTAATCGCGAAAGCATGCGAAGGCGGCTGGAGCTGCGTACTACGGGCGATCTGCAAGCCCACAGCCCGCCAGCGCATCACAAGATGCATGAAGCCAATACGTGGGAAATATCGAGATTGTCTATGACTCTGGGGAACTATCCTGGAACTGTCAGGCCGGCACCTTGGGGGCAGAATTCCCGGGAATGCCCGCGTGCGGAACATCCGCGCGCCTGTGCACGTCCCCGGTCCTTCCACCAGTGTGCTCGGCTGCGTGAAAGCCCAGCTACTTTGCTACGGCACGTACACAAGAGCACCGGAACGCAGCACTAGCCTCACTAGCCTTCTAAATCGTGGCCAGGGCCGAGGAACCACTCCCCGTGTACTTTCTGCCATTCTCTCAGCCAAAGCTGGGCTGCGTGCGTGCCGCCCTTGTCCGGATGTGCCCTAGCACAGCCAAAAGCTGAGGGTTGGGAGCTGGCGGGGGTAAAAACTCAGAAAGGTTAAGGGTTTGGGGTTTAGGAGTTGGGGCCTTGGATTTGGATGGGGTCTTGGAGGAGTTTTTGGTCGAAGGTCTGGGGCTTCGGGCAATGGACTTCAACTTTTGGCGCACGTTGCTTACGCGGGTGATATAGGGAGGTACAACGTGCCCAATTCCAACACTCCCTATACAAAGAACTACTCAATGTTGACTGAACTGGTGCAACAAGCGATGACTTGAGGCGTTTCAGGAGGTGCTGACTGGTGCCCCGGGCGCCTCAAGGACAGTCGCTTCAGAATCTTGCGCTTCTCCTCCATGGAGTCGTTGAGGGATTGCAAGATCTCTTTCTCCAACTGCGCGGTGATCCCCCTCAGGGTGATGCTGAGCCCCCTCTAACCCACTAGCCGAACTTTCCTACAAAAGCCATGGGGAAAGGATGTCCGCGCACATCTGGCAGTCAGCCCCCGCGTCCTGGAGCTTTCATCCGAGGGGTGATCGGGAACTTCAAAGAATGGCGTGTGGGCTTCAATCGAAGAGCTTTGCATGCGCAGCGTCGTTGACCTGCAGACACTGAGGCGACCTAAACCCTAAACCCTAAACCCTAAACCCTAAACCCTGAATCCCAGGCCTGGCCAAAGCATTGTCGCATCGAACGCCACCGCCTCCTGGTCGATGGGGCGTCGGCGTATCTTGGCTTCTTGCCGCCCTGAAGACCAAGAGCGCATACCGGTTTGGCTCATGTTCTTAGGGCTTAGGGTTTAGGGTTTAGGGTTTAGGGTTTAGCGTTCAGGGTTCAGGTTGTAGGTCTAAAGAGGGTCAAGAAGAGCACGGACAGCAAGCCAACCCTTGCCAAAAAAGCGCCTCGCTCCGTCATCAGCCGGCAGGTCTTCTTTCGCCAGCCCGTGCCTGCTTCCCAAGTCTTCCTTGCACGCGTCAGGCTGGCGAAGGGTGGATACCTCTTGTGGACAACTGCGGCGGCACTCAGGGGGGTTAGCATCAGGCGACGCCACTGTCTTGGCAACCGTTTGCAGCCCAGCAAACTCAGGGGAAGGCCCCTCTGGCACAAGCAAACCGTTCACATCCAAGCGCAAGCTGTGGATGTCCCGGTCAGTCATGGCCCGACTGACTTCAACTTGCTTCACTCGATCTGCAAGTTCGTGCACCTGTTCGACGAGTGCTTTGTGCGCTGTCGGCTCAGCCAATGCCTGGAGCTCGGTGAGTTTGCTCCTCAGGCTCGTCTGCTCAACACTCCAGTGGTCCAAGTGTTGGCATCTCTCAGCATCTTGTTCCAACAGCGAAGCCTGAAGGGATTGCATCGACTGAAGGGCCTCATGTAGTGTCCTCATGTCCTCTTGCGTTGCCTTTGTCTCAGCTTGCACTTTCTGGAGCTGCAAGCTTAGCTCACGCACTTCATCTTCAAGCCGACAACTCTGCACAAGGTTTGTGATGAGGGCCTTCGTCTTTGAAACATCGGCCTCCATGTGCGAGAGCTGCTCGAAGAGAGTGCACTGTCCCTGCTTCATAGATGCGACCTCCTTCTGCAAGCGATGGGTGTCTTCTGGTCGTGAAGCCTCTCCTTTGGCGTCAACTCTGCCCGGCATCTGCCCCTCTGTCAGCAGGTCGTTCACATCGAATCGCAACGTCGCGAAGTCTCGAGCCAGAGATTGCAACTGAGATTGACACTCCTGCTGAACACACTTGAACTGCCGCTCGAGAACATTGGTGATTTCTTCGAACTTGCCATCAATGGTCTGGAGTTGGTCGTACACCCATTCTTTCCGGGCCGAGCCATGCCACAGCATCGACCAAAAGGCCCCTTCCTAGTTCATTGTTGGGACAATATTAAAGACTAAATTTGCTATTCCCTATTGGGTTTAAGTACCCTGAAAACTTGTAAAATGTTGCCCAACTATGACCAAGCTTCATCAGCAGGCTTGTCAAATTCCCCGTCATCACGGACACGGGCCTTCGACCGCTCCTCATGCAGGAACATTCGCTTCGGGATGCTTTCAAGCACCCACTCGCGCCGGACTCGATCCCAGCGGGCATACTTGTACTGAAAGCACTTGGAGCGCAAACGAAGTTTGCAAGACCATTCTGGATATTGCCCATCCATTGTGTTAAGCTCCTGCCCGTTTTGCGGCTCCCAGTCTCCAATCTCCGGTGCACCTGCCAAAGGTGGTTAGGGTCTAGGATTTGAGGGTACTTAAGGTTTAGGGTTGAGGGTTTATGGGTGATTTCGGGTTTAGGGTGCAGCTTGCAGCAGCTTGCGGAGTTGGAGCTTTCTGGTTGTGGGCTCCTAGTGGGTGTTGCCTCCTTTCTCTTGCATGGGCAATTTTAGCAGGATGACAACCCAACTTTACCAAAGCTCAGCCCTTCAACGTGTAATCCCAGCACCTCCAACCAAGAAAAGGCGGTCCCCGTGACGGGTGGTCGCCTTGAGCTTGAATGTGCACTCAAAGACGTCATTCTCCCCCTTGGCAAGATTCCGGACACAAACAGCCATAGCGGCGGGTGAAACCATCGGCGCGGCTTGGCACGGGGCTGAGATGCTACTGGCCAAACTTGAGGAAACAACAACTTGCATCAAAGTGCGAGTTCTCTCTGTCAACAAGTGGCTCGCTGGCTCTCAATATAGAGGTATGGATATAGGATCCCGATGTGGTCCTTGAGATGGCAGTATTGGGTACCGATACTCCCTAAAATCCCGACCTCCATAGCAACACGGAAGCTCGGTCAAATCTGCATCTGAGGCCTTCGGGACCTCTTCGAGTACTTGCAAATCGTGCTACAACCTGATTTACGAAACCGTCTTTTTCGACCCAACGTTGCGCAACCAAACAGGGAGGAGTGGTGCGACGTGTGTGGTAGCTGAGGCTCGGCCATCGCTGCTTCAGCTCGAAACGCATGCGGATGTTCCCAAAACGAGACCTCACTGCCCTATTGCAAAAGAGTCTGAAAGCTTCTTCACCGTCTTCTTCCTCCGGGCCCTGACTCCCCCTCCAAAAGCTCTCGGTTGGGAGCGTGCGCCTCCCAAAAAGACCGTGTGCGTACGTAGGAGAAAACGAAAAGTCGTATATGGGATCTGGCTTCAAAAGAGAAGGGCAGGTGTGTACTCGGGAAAGCCTTGCCCCGCCATCTACCACTTACCACCCCTCCACCACAATGCCTCATTGCGTTTTGATTCCCTTGACTTCTTCCAGCACTTCGTAGCAGCCCGAAAGGCCCCAAGGCCGTGTCCTTCCTCGCACCTTTTGGAGCTAGGATTGCTCCTAGCACACGAAACAAAGAACAGCAAGTCCAGAAACGCACACAAGCCTGGGGCATCTGGCCCAAGGAGACCCCAAACCCTTGCAGCGATCAGTGTCACGTTCTGGCCCACTTTAGACGGGTGCCTTCGCAAGAAACTTCCAGGGAAATGGGCTCCAGCTCTTGGGCTTCTTCAAGCGTGCCAACCTGGCTGCCCTGTGTTGATCGGACCGTTCCATCACTTTCCCAGTACTTATGCTTCTCCATTCCGACCCATCTTGTGTGCTAGTTAGAGGATGTTAGAGGATGATGCCAGGCACTTTTCTTCAAGTCTCGGCCAGTCTCGGTACATCGAAGGTGCATCGCTGCAGACTGGCAAGTCGGAGCGGCGCGGTTGAATGGAGAAACAGCCATTGATCAAGAATACCTGTTCCCACATTGACCCTAGATTTCTCTAACAAACCCTTTAGGAACCTTCATCACCTGATGAAAACAGCCATGAGTTGATGATGATGATGATGATGATGATGATGATGAAGATGATGATGATGATGATGCCTGCGCGCCCCTGCGACGGCTTTGTTGCAAGACCTGCAGATTCTCGCAGCATAGAAGACCAGGAGTGGTCGAATCTCACGGCGGAGGAGCACTCAGTGCTCAGCCGGAACAAGCGAGTCCTGGTTTCTATGGTACCACAAAGGGCCCCTAGCTATGAAGTAAAAGGACCATTGCTGCTGATCGCTAAAACACTGGGGTCTTGGGCTGTCTTGGGTACCAAAAAAACGATTTGCACACGGTCGCTTATCGACGTGCTCACATCTCCGGCTCCTCTCCTCTGGCGATCAGGCCTTCAGGCCTGATCCGAAGAGCCAGTCCACAAACTCACTGACCTGAAGTGATCCGTCGTCGTTTTTGTCTGCATTCGCCATGAGGCTATCGAGCTCCTTCTCATTCCACGTTGGGTTCAG